TGCTTTATCAGCTCCAGTTTGGGGTTTGCTTCTGCTGCTTCTCAGACCTGAAAGCGCCTTTTCATGAGGCGTCTGGAACACCCAGTCCCCAACTGCAGCTTGAACTATTGCCTGGGCTTCAATGCCTGCCTTGTGCTAGTGTGGGGAGCAGACATGCACTGGTGCTGATGAGGTGGTCCAGGCAGGAGTCTTTGAATCGCTCTCAGGATGTCCTGGGCACCCACTGTACAGTATCTGATGCCACCAGATTGGTGTCTCTGCAAGTGCAATGTTAACACAACACGGAATGCCTTGTGCGGCGTGACCTGCTGTTGGGATGGATCTTTGATGTCCTCTCTCAGGCCAGACACAAGCAATGTGGCTGATGCTGAGGCTTGGGATGGTTGAGAGGTTGGGGTGGAGGTTGGCTGTAGAGTCAGTAATCAGTTGACAAAGAAGTTGAGCCCCTGCATGTGCAGGCAATGCTCTTGGAGCTGGGGACATAGCCGTGAACACAACAGATGGAAACCCCTGCCCTCATCAAGTATATGTTCTAGTGGCATGGTACGAGGGGAAGGAAATAATCCTTAGGTCCTAGGGTCCAGAGGGAACAGCCAAGGCCATATCTAAGTGGTAAATATAGGAGGGGAGAAATTTCCAAAGTGGTAACACCTGTTTAGCAGTATAGGCACAATGCATGGCACCTGTGTTGTCCCTCCCCAGAGTTCAAGACAGACATTACTAATCAATCCTGGCATGCTTTCCCACTCAGCCCCACTTCCTCAGCACAGCATTCTAAACAGCCACTATAATAGATCCCCTTTGTTGTGGGAGTGGGAACTTCCCTGGGCCCACAAAATAGTGTCTGACTGTTGGCACTCCTGCTGCCAGTGCAAATATGTTGAGAAGCAAAGGATCACAGGAAGATGGACTGGGATGGACAGAGAGCAGGCTGCAGGCACATGAGCCAGGCTCCAGCATCCAAGATTTAGGCACAGTCAGGAGGATGAAGCCAGTGGTGGAAGTGAAACAGGTGGGGTATGATTTTTGCACAGATGGACCTTGAGGTTGTAACAGCTGATCCTAGGGCAGAGGCCATCTGTCTGTCTGCCCTCTGCCCCAATTTATGCATCTTGGCTAATGTGAGCAAGTAGTGTCTGGCCAGATGTGTGCTGCCATGGAGACAGAGACGCCTCCATAGGTGCTGGTGCTAGTGATGGCAGGGTCCCAGGCAGAGGCAGGGGCCTCCAGAGGATACTGCCATCTCTAAGACCTGCTCAGCCAGCAAAGCCAACCCAGGCTGGAGCAGAAGCCCTGGACAGGAGGAGGGATCCTTTGCTATGATGCCAGTGTCGCTTAATCTACCTGATGGCATTTTCCTTTAACACCAGGTGCCAGGCATAGGAGGCTCTTGGGTGTTAGAATAAACAAGTGCATGCAGACTCTCAGGGCACAGCTTGACATGCACCAGGACTTTCTTGAGACTTGGCGTTGAGGGAGGGGAGCAGAGTTTCCTAAGCCACTATCATCAGGAACGCCACTCTTAGAGCTGTGTCACTAGAAAGAGTTCCATGGGAAATATTGGGTGAAACAAAAAGCCAAATGGTCTCTTTATTTTGGGTCTTCTCAGAGTCTAAGCTATGCTAAAATGCTTAGACTGAATATTTAGGATGAGGACATAGCAAGCAGCATTTCCCAAGCTTGGAGACATTCACCCTTGGAGACATTCATCTGAGAGATTTCTATCAGTGTCTCCTAGGGCTAGTGTTCCACAGAACCCAGATGTAGAGAATGCCTTCCAGAGGTGCCCATGCTGCCCACCACTGCACTGCAGTGCAAGCTCTCTGCTGTCTGGTTCCTCCAAAGTTCCTGCACATTCCTGCCTCCACGCACTGCTTGGGTGGACCTGCCCCAGAAATGCCCTTTCTCTAACCTCCACCTTTGCACATACCATCCAGTCCAAGTCCCACCCACTCCACAAAGGCTTTCACAGCGCCCCCAGTGGGACTTAATCCCTTGCGGCTTTGAGCATCTTCAAGTGCACTGCAGCTGATGGCATTTTGCACGGCCCAGGCCAGGGCAGGTGGTGCGCCAAGAATGCTCAGTTTGGGCTGTGGCCTGTGGGTGGCCACGTGGGCTGACAACACCATGTCTGCAGGTGTGAGAGGTACGCCTCCTGGGCACTTTGTCTTCCCTTTATCCCCCCTGCCCAGTCCATCAGGGGTAAAGCAGCCATGGTGCCCAATAAGGAAAGAAAATTTTCCACCTCTGCAACTTCCTCTGCTCTCTAATATGTAGAGAGCTGGACCAGAAGGAAGAGAACCAGCAGATCTATTTACATGGACTCTTCCCCTGAAGTGAAACCAGGGGCATTTTCTTATTTAATTATTAATGCCCTAAATCAGATGGTGCCCAATATGTTAACCTCTGTCACTCCAAATGGAGTCGGCCTAATAACCACTGCAGCAGGATTGATTTTCCCTCAGTCATCTCATAAGCATATGTCTTTGGGATCTGTCCTCAGAGAGATCCCAGGAAAGTCCCATTAAAGTTAATGGGGATGAGTTGCCCCCATGTGGTGACGGTTCCTTTCTTCACTGCGCCTGAGTGAAGTGAGACAAGGAGAATTCCCTTCCTTCCTTCCTTCCTTCCTTCCTTCCTTCCTTCCTTCCTTCCTTCCTTCCTTCCTTCCT